ATTTGTCTATATTGTAATTTAATTTTTTGTATTCGTAGAAAAAAATTTATTCATTTACAATAAGTTTTACAAGAATATTAGTGAAACATAAATAAATTTGATTATTAAAATAATAATTCTAAATTAGTAATTGAAACAAAAAAAGTCAAAAAAGAATGTTTAGCGAGGATTAAATTTACTTATATGGGATTATGTTTTTTAGACAAAAAAAATAAAAAATCAAATTAATTTTTTTTTCATTTCAGTTAGAGGAAAAGGATATATGTGAGTCATTTGTTTATAAGTAGGGGTATATATGACCCCTTTTCATAACAAGGGGTATATCAACTCTAAATGATAAAGTTAAGAGGTATATCAATCCCTTTCCCCTTAAATTTATAAACTTCAACTATTTTTTATATAACAGTCCTAAATACAACTATGTATGCACTCTATATTTTGCCTTGTAGACCAGAAACTCTGAATGTTGCAACTTTGGTTATTCAAGACATTTCTTTGTTTAGTTATTAAAAAAGAAGATTATTTATGGTGATCAGTGAATTATTTTCTTTTTGATTTTAAGTGTTCATGGTGGCTTTGTAGTCGTGTTTAAAAGTGGAAAAATGTGAATTTGAGGTTCATCGTTTGAATATATACCTTTTAGATTTTACCTGATACCTCTAATTTATTGCTGGAGAGGTATACTCATTGTTAGGGTGTAACGACCTGAACTGTCATTATATAGGAAGGACAAAAAAGAAAAAGATCTGTGAAAAATCTGGACTCTGTCCCGTTGCAGCGTGCTGATACGCTCAAACTTACTTCTCAAATAAGAACTAAAGCGGTCGTGTCAAGTAAATAACCCAATTAATGAGGTTGGGATCGTTCCAACGAGGAAAATATTTTAGACTTAACTTCAATCTATTATTACTATTATTCAGTCAATTACTTCCTTGGAAAGCAAAAATGATAAAAGGGGGTTTTCTATTTCTAAATAAATGAAAATAACTAGCGAAATTAAAGGAGACAACTAACAGTTTTGAATGTTGGAGTTTAATCAATTAATCAAAGTAACTAGGGTTTACATGTTCCCCACAGGTTCATAACTTGATAATTCTAACTATAACAATTCTTTCCTAGTATCTTGCATGCAAAGTAATAAGTTATGTATTTCTAAATCCTTGGTCCGACATCTAGAAAATTTCATTCCGCACCTTGGTCCGGCAACGTGTGTTGCTATACTAACTCTTATCCTTACCTCATATTAAGCATCGTATTCGATATTTGACTAAATTATTACGCCGTACCAACCAATATAGCTTATTAGATAGTATACACTAAATCTATGTTGATAATTCTTTTCCTATTATCTACCTCCTTGGTCCGGCAAGTAGCATTAAGGCGAGTTCTAACGTTGGTCATCCGTTAAAAAGACTTCTAAGCGAAAGAATTATCAATACATGCAAGACACTATTCTAGAATTATTATTTTTACTTAGGTTTTACCTCGTTATTTGCCTATGGTTCCCACAACCCTGGTTATGGAGTTTAGTTACCCATAGTCATAATCACAATATTCAAATATATGGTATAAAAATTTATGTACTTACTTCAATGAGAAAGAGTAAAATCTGAAAGTTCGCTTGATTAATCAACAAAAATCACCAACAATCAATTACAAGAATCCCAAAATATTCAAGAGTTTCACAAAAGGTCGAAAAAATAATCAAGAGTCTAACAAGTAGTCTAAAAATAATCCTGGGTCTAACCTCAAAAACGAGGTTTTTTGAATTATTTATAAAAAAATAAAAACCTAATTAAATAAGCACTCTATTAGCTGGAAATTTGTCAAAACGCGGCTGGGTCGACGGACCTCGCGACGGATCATCGTGGTCTCGACGGACCTTCATGGAATCCGTCGTCCCATACTTATACAATTTCTTCTTCTGCTCTCTTCATTACCCTCGAAGGCAGATATAACGGATCGTCACAGGCACAACGGTCCGTCGAGGGTCTCCGTTCGAAAACACTTAAACTCTTGAAATTTGGGTACTGGGACTACTTCTCTGAACTTCATGACGAACCAGCAGGACGGACCGTCATGGCTACAACGGTCCGTCACGCACTCCGTAACCCTATACTTGGTCAGACTTCTCCATCTTCCTTCAGCAGCTGCACTAGAATGCCACCTACGGACCGTCACGGGCACGACGAACCGTCACAAGCTCCGTAGGTGGTACTTTTCTGTATTTCTCGCTCAAAAACCTCCGCATTCTTCTTTTAGACAAATTTCCTGCAAATAAAGAGAAATTTACATAAAAATTAGCACAAAAAGGCTTTTTGACACACTAAACTTAAGGAAAAAATATTAATAATACCATGAAACCACGGTATATCACGTGCTAGATGCCGCTGGGCCAACGACCTTACAATGTATAAGTTGCCGCTACAGAGAGATAGGTGAGACATAACTGTAACGACCTGTTTAGTCGTTTTGAGCAGGAGATTTTATTTCTGGAAAAACTGGCTGAGACGACGGACCGTCATGGGCATGACGGACCGTCGAGGGTGTCTCGTTCAAAAATACTTAGAATTCTGAAAATTGGTTACTGAAATCGACTCTCTGAACTTCGTAACGGAATGGCAGGACGGACCGTCGTGGGAACGACGACCGTCACAGACCCTTTAATGGGATGGAGTCTCTGAACTCTGTGAGGGAGCAGCAGGACGGACCTTCGCAGGCACGATGGCCCGTCACAAGCTGCGTAATCCCAGGCGAGGTCGGATTTCTTTAAATGTTTTAAGGGACGTTTTGGACTATTCCTGCTATAATTATAAATTTAGTGGGTTAATGTTATTAATTTAACTACTTGAGGGTTAAAAGTGATAACCTTGAATTAATTAATGGGTTAATTCACCACCTTTTATACTTAATTATATGCTAATTAGGGTAAAAGAAAGAGGGTTTGAATAAGAAAAAGAAAAGAACAGAAAGAGAGAGAGAGGATCGAACGAGAAAGAGGAGAAACGAGAAAAAGAACAAAGCTTTGGGAAATTGCTTGCTTGATCAAAATTCTTCGGTGGAGGTAGGTTATGA